TCAACAACCTTTGCCACAAAACGAAGGTTGGAGACCGGACGGTAGTTAGCTAATTCAGCCGGGCCCAGGGAAGGCTTCTTGAGGAGGGGCCTCACCACCGTCTCTTTCAAGGCGGTGGGAAAGGCACCCTCACTCAGAGAAGCAGTTATAATCCCCTGGAGCCAGCCTCGTGTAACCTCCCAGGAGGCCAGTACCAACCAGGAGGGACACGGGTCCAATAAACATGTGGCGGCACTAATCCTACCCAGAACCCTGTCCACATCCTTGGGAGCCACAGGATCAAACTCCTCCCAGATAATATTCTCAAGACCTGCCCCTGTCTCCTCCCCTGGACTCATCCAATCGGAGTCCAAGCCATCCCGAATCCGAGCGACTTTATCATGCAGAAATTGCACAAAATCCTCAACGTGGCCCTGCAAGGGATCTTCCCGCACTCCCCCCCCGAAGAAGGGAGTGGGTCACCCTAAACAGGGTGGCTGGGCAGTTCTCTGCAGATGCGATAAGAGCGGAGAAATGGTTAGATTTCGCCGCTTTTATCGCCACTAGGTAGGTCTTGATATAAGACCTCACCTGTGTCCGGTCGGAATCGGATTGACTAGTCCTCCAAATGCTCTCTAGGCATCTTTTCCGACGCTTCATCTCTCTCAGCTCCTCGGAGAACCAAGGAGCCAATTGAGATCGGCATCAGGTCAGAGGCCGCAAAGGCACGACGCGGTCCAAAGCTCTGGCAGCTGCACTCTCCCAGGCGGCCACCAGCTCTTCAGTCGAGTCGTGTGCCAGAGTCTCAGGAAACGGCCCAAGCTCCGTCAGGAACCTTTCGGGGTCCATCAGGCGCCTGGGACGGAACCATTTGGTTCCGTCTCCCTGCGGCGGGGGAAAGCGGTAGGAAAGTCTAAGTGAAGGAGCGAATGATCTGTCCATGACAAGGGTTTGATATCTAGGTCCCCTCTACCAAGATCATTCAACCACTGACCAGAGACAAAAATCAGGTCCAGAGTGTGCCCCCTATGTGAGTTGGGCCTTGAACTAACTGGGGCAGGTCCATGGCCGTCATGGAAGCCATGAACTCCCGAGCCACCTCTGATGCCTCACCCGCAGACGGAAGGTTGAAATCCCCCATGACAATAAGTCTGGGGGTGTCAACCGCCACCCCAGCAATGACGTCGAGTAGCTCGGGCAGGGTCGCTGCCATGTGGCAGGGAGCTAGGTATGCAGTCAGCAAACCCATCTGCACCCCACGGCCCCACTTCACAAAGAGGGACTCACATCCGGCTATCTGAGGAACAGTGGTCTCCCTCGGACAAAGACTCTCCCTAATAATCACCGCCACTCCCCCACCCCTCCCCTGGGCCCTTGGCTGATGAAATGCACGGAAACCTGGTGGGCACATTTCAACGAGGGGAACCCCCCCCTCTTGGCCCAACCAGGTCTCCGTAATACCTGCCAGATGCCAGTAATATAGCCGTTGGGGGCAGTGCTCCTCAAGAAAAATCAAGATGGAAATCTGCAACCCTGTGCCTCCACCTCCAGGAAACTCACAGACCCTGAAAAGGTGATGGGCAGTGTGGGAAAAGGAGATGTTCGCCGTTCGATGGACCCTAATAACCGAGCGCCACTTTCTCAAGGGGAGTAAGGTGCCGTTTCAGGTCTGGACTGATCACAAAAATCTGGAGGCACTTAGAACTCCTCGGAAACTTTTGTCCAAGCAAGTCTGATGGGCATAGTACTTTAACTGTTTAGATTTCACACTGAAGTATATCCCCGGGGAAATTTCCTACCAAACACCCTGTCCTGAATGCTCAATACAAGAGCAACAGGGAAGAAGTGATCAACGCCATCATCCCCCTCATACAAAAGGCAGCACAAGCCACTACAAAATGACAAACCCAGAAAGCATCAGAACAGCCAGGGGGCGAGTTCACCCAGAAACTTAAAGTTGAGTTAAAATCTGACCCCTGACTGAAGGACAACTGCCAGCTCCTAACTCTCAGAGAGGAGTTGACATGGAAGGGGTCTAAGTTGTACATCCCCAGCACCCTCCAGTTTCAAGTGCTACATAAAAGCCACAGTACTAAACAAGCTGGACATTTTAAACAAGCCAGATTCCTAAAAATATGGCACCTGATCAGGAGACAATTCTGGTGGCTGGGAATGAAAAAAGACATTGAGAGTTACATAAAAAGCTGTGCCATATGCGTGGCCATGAAAAAGAGGCAAGTGGCCGAGCTGTCACAACCCTGGGAAGAGATCACAATGGATTTTATAGTAGAATTCCTGGAAGTGGGGGAGGACACCATAATTTGGACTGTAATTGCTCTTTTTTCCAAGTAGGCTTATTTTTTAGCATGCTCTGGTCTCCTCTCATCTCAAAAACTGGCCAAACTGTTCCTGAAACGTATCTATTGGCTACATGGAGTTCCAAGGCGAATCATTTCAGATCGAGTGGTCCAGTTCACGGCAAAATTTTGGAGGGAGTTTGTAAGACTGACTGGATCCTCCAAAGGACTTAGCTCAGTTTTTCATCTGAGAACAAATGGGGCGGTGGGATGTGTGAACGCAATGATAAAGCAGTATTTTAGGTTTATGTTAACACCAGCAAGCTAATTGGGCAGACCTATTGTTGCTTGCTGAAGTGGCGTATAATAATGCAGTCCACAGCAGCACAGGACTCATTCCTTTTAAGGTAGCTATGGGTAGAGTTTATTCCCATGCCAGAGCTTCCCCAAGAACCCCCCTCCCCAGTTAGCTTAACAGAGTGGGTGGGCTCACTACAAAGCACTTGGGGAAATGTGAAGAAGGCGCTAGCCAAAGCCACAGAAACACAAAAGGAACAGACAGATAAGAGACGTTCCCCCCAAAGGCCATTTCACGTAGGAGAGAAAGTTTACCTCTCCACCAGGTAAATTGCCATGTAGAAAATTAGGTCCCAAATTTATAGGACTTTTCTCCATTGTAAAAATCATCAACCCAATCACAGTAGAACTAAAACTTCCATGTTAGGGAGAGTGCATCCGGTTTTCCTCAGTAGCTTATTGAAACCGGTAAAGAGATCAGCACTCTGCCAGTCGAACAAGGTGCTCTGGATTTGATCATGGTGGAAGGGGAACCCCATTATGAAGTGAAAAAAAAATCTTAAGACTCTAGATTACACAAAGAGAGGCTACAGTACTTAGTGCAATGAAAAGGGTACCCCCTTATCAGAAGCTACCTGGGTGAAGAGTAAGGGCATGAAGACAGAAAGGTTAATTAGAAAATTCTATGAAAAGAACCCCCACAAACCGAAGGAAGCACTTGAAGATGGGAGGGGTGGATTGAAGCAAGACTAAACAGTTTATATCGATGTTTTCCAAATGTTCCTTGCCCACTAGGGGGAGCTGACTGTCAACACTGAACTGAACCTGCTAGAAGCCATTTTCCTAGTTCATCATTGCCACAATGTATGGGGGTGGGGGAGATTGGAATGCATTGCTAGACACAACATTGAACTTTCTCATGAGGACCAAGGTCATCTCCCAGGTGATAGAGGGAAAAGGAGAAGAGTGCCTGAGGAGCCCACTAATTTATCTGATTGGCCAATGTGACCAGTGACACTGGGGGGAAGTGGTGCTTACTGATTTTAATTATGCTGAAATCGCAAGAAAGATTCAGAGTTGGTTTTCAGCCAAGTGTGCCGATATGGTTTACCCAATAAAGAAGTTTGAGGGAGCATCTGGCCTCAGAGTCCTGATTTGCTTGGGTTTGTTAGTCAGAACCTTGACATTAGATTTGTGTACTTTTGTGTACTTGGTTCTTTTCTATCCTGCTTTATGGAGTAAAGAGTTGGTCTCTAACAGAAAGCCACTTGAAGAGACTAGAAGCATTTGAAATGTGGATTTACAGACAGCTGTTACATATAAACTGGGTTGACAAAATCAGAAATGAGGAGGTGATAGGCCACCTGAGGAAGCCAAGGGAAATCATCAAAACCATTAAAAAGCGAAAGTTATAATATTTTGGACATGTGATGAGACACCCGGAAAAATACGGCATACTTTACTTAATCCTCCAAGGAAAGATTGAAGGCAAACAAGGTCCAGGCAGAAGAAGAACATGGCTTCAAAATCTAAGGGACTGGTTTGGACAAAACTCAGCAGCCCTTTTTTGTGTGGCTGCTGATAAAAATAGGATCACCAAACATGATCGCCAACGTCCAATGACAGATATGGCACAAGAAGAAGAACCCTCTAGAATGAATGACTTATGTTGCAAGTGCTATTTATAGCATTCAATATTTTTGAATGAACATTGAAAACATTTTTGATGGATGAAATTTGCTTTACTGAACTTCTAATATCATTGTTTTTAATGTATTCACACACTGTTCTGTAATCTAGTTGGCCATCTAATTATAACTAAAAGGGTTTCTATATTTGTTTGTGCTAAAAATAAAAAGATTTTGTCTGGGCACAAACTGTCATGGTTGACTCTCTACACAGCCCCACTTACAACCAAACAAGGGGTGGGGGGGTCAGAAGACGTTGGAATGGAAGGGAAATTTGGAGTGTAAGTGTGCTGACTGAAAGCCTGAGATAGACCCAACACCTCTAAGTCATTCAGCTGAGGAAGTCTGAGGCACACAGATTGCTCCCAAAATATAGTGCAAATGAATGGGAGATCCAGAGGGAAAAGGAAGAGTTTTCCTATGCTGTTTTCAAGTGAATCATTAAAACTGGCTTTTCTACTTCTGAAACCACATGAAATCTTCAGTAAAGTTATACTCTTGGTAAAAAAAAAAAGTCCCAGGAGTTTCCCTTGCTGTCTAACCTAGTGGGACAGTTGATGTTCACTGGCTAGAAGAAATATTGTATAATACTAAAAGGAAAAAAACTTTACCTGGTTTGCAGCAATGAATTGTTGATGGGAGATCCCTTTTTTGGGAAAGCAGTTGTGGGCTTCATTTCTATTTTAATTATATTTTCTCTTGTATAAATGTCATGAGTACTTTTTCCTTCTTTGCTTAGGACATAGCATGTTAAGCACTGTTGCTATAGCCTTGCATGTTGCAGAAGAAGTAATAGAAGAAGCTATTTCCAAGGCTGGGACATACAGTGACAGCTTGGTAAGATCTTTTTTCCATTTAATAAGAAAAATATTCCTTCTAGTAGTGTGCATTTCTTGCTCAATTAGAAAAAGCAGTAAATTTACAGGCCAATATTACTAGTTTTTTTTATTCCGTTATTTTATTCTACTCCTTTTCATTTTTAATTATTTTACATTTTATCATATTAATCATTCATATACCATTTCCCTCCTTCTCTTTATTATCACAGCAGCAATATTTATTTTTCTGCATTCTTTTTCTCCAAAGTATCCACAAGTAAAAATAGGCAATATATTACCCATTCTACAAGACAAGAAACATACAAAAATCAAAAGTAAATTTTATTTTTTAAAATAATTGCTATTCCTGAAATATTTGGTTGAACAGATATGTGTTCAATTATCATTAAAAGAAGACATCAGGAAGACCAGCTGGAGTTTCCTTGGTAGAGTGTTCAATAATTAGTACATAAGCAGAGTCTTCCCAAATAATATATAATTCAAAAACAAATAAACTTTTATATATGCATTTATACCCAAATGTGTATACATGCATGCCCTATCTCCTGCCAATGTGGCCATAGACAGGTGGACAAATCCTGGAATGTTTCAGACTGATACACACACTGTAAGGGTTGCCTCTCCCTCTGACTTAAGAAAGTGAAAAACTCTTGAAACTGAGTATTTCAAAAGGAACCTTTTATTAAGCAGAAGTGACAACAATGGATTCAAACTAGCCTCTGAATACCCTTAGGCAAGACAAGTAGGATTAAAGCAGTAGAGACCCCTCCCTTTAGCCAGAATGCAGATTTTAGCCAATACACAAGTGTGAAGATGTTTTCTTTACCAGCTGCCCTGAGAACCGGACAAGCATGCATTCCCATTGCTATCCTCCGTTATCCTCTAAAGTGAAACAGCCCACATGGCCATCATAAACATTCCCCAAAGGTAAGGAGATCTCAGGGTGCTGAGGCGCCAGGATATAGGTTGTAAAATATCTGTTGACACAGGCAGTGCTAATAAATCGAATCCAAGCCCCCCCACCCTTCTCCCAATTGAATGGCAGTATCACTTTTAGGAATCTGACACACACAGAGATACAAACACTGAACAATTAAGCAGATCCCTTGCATTTATGAGGGTAATTGATTTAATTTTGCAAAATGGGATTTGTTTATAGTATTTTTAAACCATTATGCACATTTTAAAATTTGAAATTTCATACTTAAGTATTCATAAGTATTCATACTTACCTACATATCTTTTTGAGGACAAACAGTATGAAGCTTGTTATTTGCAAGATCATAAAGAAGAACTGATAGAAGAGCTTGCTACCACCATTGTCCAGAAGGTATGACACAAGGGTTGCATTGTTTAGATGAATTTATCATTAAGAAAAATAATATATGTCTTTTTAATATTAATTTGCATTTTACATAATTTATTACAAATCGTAAGATCACAATATTTTTAATCACATTTCCTAGTAGGGGACCACATGGAGTGTTTTGATTTATGCAAGGATTTCCGCTTTAAGTTGATACTTTTGCTCTAATGAAGTATTTTGCCAAAAGTGGCTAAAACTGTTTTTTATTTAAAAAAATTAATATTAAACATAAAAATTCAATGTTTTTATGAACAGTGTGTTGTCTGAGTACAGTTGTTTTTGAGAAATAGTGTTAATCATAATAATAATAATAATATAACAATGATAAACATTGATAACATAACCAATGATAATCATATAATATTAATAATAATATTTACTTAGCTATTTTAATAAATCTTCACTACAGTTAATCATTTCTTTATGCTTTTAAGTTTCTAACTTCTGTTTCTGCTAGTTAACCATTGATATAACAAATCCCATGTTAAAAAGTATTCAGTTTCTTCCGTCTCCTTAATTTTGAATGTTAGTCTATCCATTTCTGCACATTCTAATTTTTTTATAACTTTTTCATCTGTAGGAATATCTTCATTTTTCCATTGTTGTCCAAACACAATTCTAGCTGCAGGTAACACATGTAAAATTAAATATGTATTCCCTTTATTATATTTTTCTGGTAGAATACCCAACAAAAATATTTCTGACTTTAGATCTATGTATTGCTTTACTATTTTTTCTAACCATGTGTGTATTTTTTGCCTTTGGGCATATCCACCACATGTGATAGGGCAAATCCGGTATCTGATTACATTTCCAACGCTTAGCAAATATATCCTTAAACATCTTTGCCAATCTTGCTGGTGGAAAATACCATCTATAAAACATTTTATATAAACTTTCTTTGTATGCAGTTGACATTGTTAATTTATAATTCCTATCCCACAATTTCTGCCATTTATCTAACTCTATAATATAACCAAAATTTTTGGCTCATACTATCACTGTTTCCTTTACTTGCTCTTTTTCCATTTCAATGTTCAATAAGTAGTTATAAATTTTTAAAATTAGTTTTTCATCTGTCCCTGTTAATATCTGATCCAGTTCTGTTGGTTCTTTATAAAAACCATACATTTTAGCATCTTTCTCATATCTTGATTGTATTTGCACATGTGGCCACCCTGCCAAATCAATCCCTTGACTATTCAGTTCTTGCTTAGTTTTAAGTTCCCCTTTTTCATTCAGAATGTCCTTATATCTTATAATGTTTTCCGTGTTAACAACATTCAGATGTATCAGTGACTCCATTGTGGAGAGCCAGACTGGTATTTTCAAATAATGTTTTTCTTTGATTTTTGTCCAAAATAACAGTAATGCATTTCTAACATTTATCCATTCTTTCACCCATGTAAGTATAAGAAACCTGATAATACAACTCCCAATCTGGCAACCCAAAACCCCCTTTGTTTTTGGAATCTTGTAACATTTTCAGACTTATTCTTGCTCTTTTTCCCTTGCCAAATATATTTTGACATTATTTTATCTAATTCCTCAAAATATTTTTCCCCAGTTTTATTGGTATTGTTTAGAACAAATATAGTAATCTCTGCAAAATATTCATTTTTATAGTAGCTATTCTTCCTATCAAAGATAGTTGTAGATTTTTCCACTTCTCCAAGTCTAATTTGATTTGTTGCAGTAATTTGACAAAGTGACAAAATTAGTGGACCAAAGGAATTCTGTTGATATAATTTACTTGGACTTTAGTAAGGCATTTGATAAAGTAGGCCATAACCTACTACTAGGTAAAATAGAAAAATGTGGGTTAGACAGCATCACCACCAGAAGGATTCATAACTGGTGACCAACTGCACTCAACATATAGTCCTCAAAGCATCTACATGGAGGGAAGTATACACGGGGGTTCCCCAAGGCTCTGTTTTAGGCCCAGTACTCTTCAACATCTTCATCAATGATTTGGATGAGGGGATAGATGGGGAACTCATCAAATTTGCAGATGACACCAAGCTGGCAGGAATAGCCAACACTCCCGAAGACAGGAAGGATCTTGACAGACTTGAACATTGGGTACTATCTAACAAAATGAAATTCAGTGGTGAAAAAAGTAAGGTTCTACATTTAAGCAAGTTTACTTGGCATCCATATGGGGCATAGATTCCAACCAACAAACATTTCCTTTGGTCCACTGTTACCTCTACGATCAGGACTCTACCTTTTTTTTCGGCATAAATTAATTTAGATTCTAAGTGTCCTTTTACATATATCACTACTCCCTTCTTTTTCTGATCTGCCAGGGAGGCATACAAATTTCCCAGTCTTTTATTCTCCAGTATCGCTTTCTGGTTTCCTTTTACATGAACCTCCTGCAGGCATATCATATCATAATTTCCTTTTGCCAACTGGTTAAACACTCTCTTTCTCTTACATGGATTATTTAAACCATTAATATTAGCTGAAAATAAGGATACCCCCACCTCTCCCTTTACCATCCTCCTTACTACTTATGTCAGGTATGCTTCCTTCAGTATCCAGGAAAGAAAAACCCAAACTCAATCATTTTGAAGAGATTAGTACTTTTACTGAATATGAAATGATCACAACCCAGGTAAAGCTGGAAGTGAGCAAAACTTCCAAATAGCATCTACTAAGCTTCTCCCCCCCCCCCCAGTGTCCATTGACCCTCAGCCAATCCAAAGGTCTCCCAAAGGTCAGGTGGCATCACGTCTGGCAACGTCATTCATGAGGAATGTAGGGCAGTTGGTCAGCCAGCCCCTTTTGAAGATTCACTTTCGATTCCTGGGAAGACACATCCTACAATAGATAAACACCTCCTGCGCCTTCCCCACCCTTTCTTTTCTTTTTTTTAAATTTTTATTAATATATTCTATACACTAATACACAAATAAAATATACAATCCTGCCACTATGGTATAATATGATTACATTGTCCATAAGTATAAAATCATTCCTTTATACATACATATTTGCCATCATATATATACATCATCATATATCTATTCTATCCCACCTTTTCTGGACCCAATCGTACCATACTTTCCAACTGTTATAAAATTCTGAATCTTTTTTACCATTGATCAATCTAGTTAGTCTATCTGATTCCGCACACTCATTAATTTTATATATTATTTTCAAATCTATCGGTAAGTATTGATTTTTCCACTCCTGCGCATACGCTAATCTTGCTGCAGTGATAATGTGAATCAACAAGAACCGTATATCTGATTTAACATTCAAAGGTTTTGCCCCCAATAGGAAAATCTCAGGTCTTAATTCCAAATTAATCTGTGTAATTTCCAAAATCCATTGCCGTATTTTTTTCCAATATTTAACCGCCTGCGGGCAGGTCCACCATTGGTGAAAATAGGTTCCATTGCTGTAACCACACTTCCAACAGCAGGCAGATGTCCCGGGAAACATTTTAACTAATCTCGCCGGGGGTAGATGCCACCGGTAGATCATTTTATATATGTTTTCTTTATATGAGGAGGCCATGGTTAATTTCATACTTTTCAACCAAATCTGTTCCCATTGCTGGAAGTCAAGGGGATATCCAAAATTTCGCCCCCATGCTATCATACAATCCTTCACTACATCCTGTCCTATCTGCAAAGACAATAAATATGCCTTCCCCACCCTTTCGCCCCCCTTTACTAATCCCTCGCCCGTTTCTTATGGCAGCTGAAGCAGGCAAAGCTGAGGCTGACATTCGGCCCCTCTTGCAGAAGAGACGTTATTCCTAAATAAGAGGAAAGAAGAGAGAGAGAAACAGAATATATACAATAATTATGGTTTATCAGGGTATTTGGTATAGAATTGCTGTATTTTCTTGGGAGCTCGGACATCCCGTTTATTTACCCATTCAGCCTGCGATAAAGGGAAATGTTTCCAGGCTATCAGATATTGGACTTTGCCATGGTGTTTCCTAGAGTCCAAAATTTCTTTAACTTCAAAATGTTGCTCCCCCTCTATGAGAATGGGAATTGGAGGGGTGCTTTGGTCAGCCCTTAGGGGAGACGAGTGTTCAGGTTTTAATAAACTAACATGAAATACAGGATGTATACGTCTCAATGTTTTTGGCAATTCCAATTCAACTGTTACTGGATTAATTAGTCTAATCACACGAAATGGTCCCACATACTTAGGGCCTAGCTTTTTGGACTTCTGGGTGGTCTGTAAATATTTTGTAGACAAATAGACTTTATCACCCACTTTATAAACGTGAGCTGGGGACCTTTTCTTATCAGCTTGCGCCTTATGGGCCCGGTGTGCCTCATCCAAAGCCTTCCGAGTCACTGCCCATGTGCTCTTTAATTGTTCAATCTAATCCATCAAGGAGGGATTTTGGGGATCATCTTGTGGTAACTCGGGAATGAGTACAAAATCCTGGCCCGACGCGACCTTAAAAGGAGTGAATCCAGTGCTACTGTGTACGGAATTATTATATGCCACTTCTGCAAATGGCAACAAGTCTACCCAATTGTCTTGCTGGTAATTTACGTAACATCTCAGGTACTGTTCTAGTACCCCATTGGTTCTTTCACAGGCCCCATTTGTCTGAGGATGGTGACTGGAACTTAGCCCCTGGGCGGAGACCAATCAATTTCAAAAATTCTTTCCAGAAACTGGAAGTAAATTGCACCCCCCTGTCAGAAATTATTCTTTTTGGAGATCCATGTAGTCGGTAAATCTGCCGAATAAACAGTTTTGCAAGGGTTTTTGCTGAAGGGATCTTTGAGCAAGGGATGAAATGTACTTGTTTGGAAAACAAATCAGTTACTACCCAAATGACAGTGCAGCCCTCACTGTCTGGTAAGTCCACAATAAAATCCATAGATATTTCCTTCCATGGGGCATTCGGTCTAGCCACACTTTGCAGCAATCCAGGGGATTTTCCTGGAGGTCTTTTAGCCGAGGCACATACTGGA